TCATTCGGGGACAACAAAAACCTGAAAGGTGTCCTAACACATTTTTACATGTAGTTATGACAATAAACATGCCTTTTCTGTAAAAAAAAAAAAAAAAAAAAAAAAAAAAAAAAAAAAAAAAAAAAACAGCTTGTCATTTCAGCATTGTTCTATATTTCTTCTCTAATTTCACTTCCCTGTAAACTGTGACTCAGCTTCATTTACATGAAGACAGGATACTGAGACACGCAGCAAAACATATATTACATTTTCTACCAGCATCAACCACTTTTACATGGAAAATTATTGCTTTAAACTTAATTCAGCAACAGCGTCGGCTGCTAAGATGTTAAAACTAATTGTGTTATTTTTCCTGTGAATCTGAAAGACCTTAGTTTATTTCTTTGTTTTTAGTACATTGTAACAAAGTGGATGAAGTGATCCTAAGAAGCAGTAACATGTATCTGAATGTTCCCTTTTGCATAATTTATCACTGTTTACAAAGATTAGCCCTCTAAAACATATTTTTAAATTGATCTGACCACCTGTTCAGAGATTATCTGCATCTCGGCTGCTGACTCAGCCAGACGACAATCCAAACGTCGTTATTGTTTATTTGCCTTTCTGCATTATTTAGCTGTCCTGTGGGAAAGTCTCACCGCTGACAGAGAGCCTGCGCCTCCTTCATGGTGCTCCCTGCCGCCAGAATGTGCTGGGGGTCAAAGGTCATCATGGCCTTCATTTCTAAAATAGTGGCGTAGGTCAGAGCGTGGTACATGCTGTCTTTGGCCCTGAAAAACAAACAAAAAAATGTAAATTAGTTGTTAAAAAGCATATTGTTTTAGCAAGATTACATGATTAAGTTATTCCTAAAAGGAATGCATGTCACTCGTCACCTTTCAGAGTTAAAGATCATTTTATGTTGAAAACTGACAAAGTTGTTTTTGGTCAAACCATGAAGTTACTGTTGTGTACAACCTTGTGCAATATTACAAATCAAGCTCGGACGATGTGTTGTGAGTCACTAAGGTTTGGCCACCTCAGATTTTAACTCAATATCTATGAATATGACTGAGCTGAAGCCAGTTTTCTGCTGGCTGATGTCAATTAGCTGTGGTGACTGTCTTAAATTGGATTAACTCTAAAGGTTACAGTGTTGTAGATGTACTCTAAATTCAATCATTACTTTCTGAAACTTCAATAAAATCCATCCAGTGCTTCATGATATATTTTTCTCACAGACAAACTTTGTTGACACCAACATTAGTGCCTGTCACATCAAATTTTTGCTATAAATACGAAAGCATTTTTGGAAGGATAACTATGATGACATATTGCAAAAAATAATAATAATTCACGCTGCTGAGATGAACAATTGATGAATTATTAGCATGTGAAGTGAAAGGAAGTGACATCACAAGAGTAATGTCCTCGTGTGAACAGAGCAGTGCTAGAGAAAAATCTGATGTTCTTTAGAGCAGTGGTTCCCAAACTTTTTATCTTCTGACCCACAAAATATCCACGGCAAAAACTTGTGACCCCAAATATTACTGGTCTGAGTACATGAACTTTGTTAATAACCCTAAAAATACAGACTTTTTTGACAATCTAAACAGCTTGTACACAAATATAAATACTTACTTATACTTATTTTGTGGTTTTATAATAATTTTGAGGAAAATATTACATCGTCAATTATTTTATTACCCTTTAAATTGATTGATTTCTGGAGATTATCCAAGGTGCTTCATGACCCATAATTGGGTCCCAAGCCCAACTTTGGGAAACAAAGTGCAGTGGTTCCAAAACTTTTCAGCTTTTGACCCACAAAATAACAGTAGCAGACACCTGTGCCCCCAGCTTTTTTTGGATGATAAACATTTGTATCAGGTCAACTAAACATGGGCATAGTAACAATATTTTTATACTACATTTATCCATTTTAAATATACTAACCTCACTCCTTTGTAACAACTAAGGCAAAAATGTAATTAATTTAGAAAATCCTGTCAGGACCCCACCTTGATGTTTCAGGACCCCACATTGGGTCCTGACCCCAACTTTGGGAAACACTGCTTTAGACCATTTTGAGTCACTTTCAAGGAGAGATGAAGAAGAGTCCGAGTTCAAATAATATTCTTTCAATAAATAAACTCCAGGGAGTTCCCTTTTCCTAAATAATACTCTCATGATGTCATTTCCTGTTACATTTCATCTTGGTCAAATTAAAAAGAAAAAATGCCAGTTACGTACACAAAAAGTGTAAAATCATGTGTATTATACCAATTTTCTTAAATATAAATATGTTTTCTTTGACTTTTTGTTTTGAAGGATATTCACGTCACAGGCACTATTAAAGCTTTAAGCTAAAATTGAATGCAATGTATGGCACTTGAAGTATGCATTGTGAAAAACAAATTTTAACAAATTATTTGTAAAACTGACTGAATTATAGTCATTATAGTCAATTGACTAAGGCGGCCATCTTGAACTTGGTTTGCTCCAAAAGCTAATCAGTTGTAGAGGTACAAACATGACATATTTTATGAGAGTTTTATTCAAACCCATCAAGTGGTTTACAGATATTTTCCAAACAGACCCATCCATCCAACCATCTTTACCCGCTTCTCTGCTTCTTCCATACAGGATCACGGGGGTCACTGGTGCCCATACCCAGCAGACAGTGCGAGGGGCGGGGTACACCCTGGACAGGTCGCAAGTCCATCAGAGTGACAAAAAGAAAAGCATTCACTCTCTCACTTAGGGACAATTTAGAGTTACCAATTAACCTAACAGTCATGTTTTTGGTCTGTAGGAGGAAGCTGGAGTACCCGGAGAAAACCCACATATGCACGGAGGGAAGATGCGCAAACCTACCTACTACAATTGTGGCATCCGTACATACAGACAAGCAAAAACATTATCGTCAACCTTTTGCCTTTCTGCGGCAGGTGATAAAAATATAAGTATAAAAATGTTTTACGTGTTCCGTTGAAGACTTTTGCATGGAAAAAAGTGTAATAAAGCTGTGGCTGACACACTCTTTATTATTTATATTTACTTGCTGAACTAGTTAAAACAAATCTGTTGTTCCAGTTTTAATCGATTTTCAAAACTAAATCCTTTAGAAAGTATAGATTTAAAAACAACAACTTTGTACTGAGGTCACACTCGATGGCTAAAAAAAAGACAAAAGAGCTCAGGTTAAACAGAGTGCTGACTGTTTACACACCAAAAAACACGTGATCGGCTCATGCGTGTTTTGTTAACAGACGGTCCGAGGCGTGCGGAGAGGAATGCCGTCAATCTGCTCGGTTTACTGCTGTTCACCACAGATTGTCTCATGTGACTCGCCTGTGTGATCCGTCAGCTCCAACCAGTCGTCCTTCTCTAATATAAACTATAATTTGCATAAAGGAATTTGTTTTGAAGTGCTCGATACATATTCATTAAGGCTGTTGAATAATCATTAAGTAACATTGAAGGTTTAATTTATCCTCAAATTAAAAACTTGTTAGCAAAACCTGTGAGGCCGTCAAATACTTTGTTTACAAACAGAAACAGCCAAAGTGACTGAAAATATGACAACAAAAAAGCCATTTGAGACTGAGAAATCTGACAGTTTGGATGTATTAATATGTATTTCTGCTCAGATTTATTGGGGGAAATATACAGGTAGAAGCACTTTGTTTACACTGAGTGCAGACCCGCATTTTAAGAATGGAGTAGTATATCTAGACAACTACTAGATTAAATAATTTAAAGGCAGCTTTGAATCAAGTTCAGGATAGGTTTTAATTTCTATTCAGTTTCATATGTTGCAATGAGTACCTTTAATTATCTAAAACTGAGCACAAAGTGATTAACTTCAGATGTAAATGATGTAAATTACAGGTGAAAAAAACAACTTATGAATCTTTTAGCTTGTTTTTAAACAAACACAACCAATAAAAACTTAAATGAAACTTATGAAGTTACCAAAAGCCAAACAAGAAGTGTGACGACCAGGAAGTAACAGGCAGTGAGAAAAGGTGGAGTAGCAGAGAGATTTTTTCCACTGTGTCAAGTTTAAATAAGGATGACAGCACATTGAGAATCATCTAAACTGGAGCACGCCTTAAATTCAGCTCTGAAACATGTTGGAGCACACAAAGAAGTGCAGCAATTTCCGAATAATTTGAACACAAATGAACAAAGTTGACCAGCAGGCGAAAAACTGACTGAGGCTGTATTAGCATCAACGTGCTAACTAGGGGTGTCCTGATCAGATACTCAGTATCGGTATCGGTGGCAGATATGGCCATTTTGTTGAAAATCAAGTAGAATCAGATTTAGTCATGTGATCGGGCCGATCCAGTTTTCGTGACAGTTTTCAGCATCATCATGCTTTACAACTGCCGTTAAGAAGTCAAGACGCACACAAGTATGCAGCCATGTCCACAGTGTGGGAACACTTTTCAATGGAAAACGATGCTGAAATTTCATCTTGCAAAATCTGCAAACTGGATGTTTCTTGTGTTGGTAACAGCAGGGCTCGCTTTAATACTACCAACCTTGTCACTTGGAAAGAAATCAAGAAATAAAGCTATTGGGTCTGTATCAGAAAGACTAATCATTAAGAAAAAACTGGATTGTATCAGGAGCCAAAAAATCTTGATGAGGACATCCTTAGTGCTAACCCCACAAAAACTTCTTTTAACTGTGCTGAAAAGGCTCTGACTAAGTGGGTGACACTGACGATGGTGCAGTGACACATGTACAGGAATATATTCAACTGTTTTTTTATTTTGTCATTTCATTTATAATGAATAAACATATCAAAACAAGTTTATGTCTCCCTTGTCTAGTAGAGAGTTTATTTAAAATAACAGTAATGACTGAGATGAAGGAAAAGTCTAAAAGAATATAGATTTAAAAATGATAAACACTGGAGATCTAAATAAAAAAATAGAATAAACACCAGCTTCATATCTGTCGCTCTGACAGCCAGACATGTTGATGCTAGCTAGTTAATTAGCTGGGTTATTAGTAAGCATACTGAGCCTTGAACAGAAGGCGTGATCATAATTCATGCAAGGCATCATGGGTAGTAGGAATAAGGCAGGTAAAGTTTACTGATAGACATGAGCAATGGGTGGCATCTGTCTGATAGACAAGCTGTGGCTGTTTTATCCAATTTTTCTTGTAAAAAGACAAAAGGTTGAGAGGAATTCTCCTCTCAGCTGTCATACAGCTGACTGACAACAACACACAGAGACAGGTGCAGCAGGTGGAGTCACTCCTCTAAGAAAACCCACATCTTCCAAGGTTTGACCACAATAGATTAGCTATAACTCCATCATTTCTCAACACATGATTTTAGTTCAAAGATCTGGCATGAAAGGCGGTGGGCAATATGCAATACTTCAAAAAAAAAAAAAAAAAAGGCCTTTAGCTCAAAGACATGTTTAGACAAAAGTTAGCTCATGTCCAGTGAACTGATGAAGAAAGAGAGGAGAAGAGGACTGGAAGTAAACACAGACACCTCTACTTATATTTTACGTCATCACACAGATGATAGATAACACTTTCAGTGTTTTTCTCTCACACACAAAGCAGCAACCCTCTGCACAAAACACACTACACATTAGTGGTTTATGACTGCAGGCTACAGGCTGACTCAGAAAACCTTTTAATAAAATACAAACTAAGAAACTCTTAACTCTTAACATTTCTAAACTTTAATTTGACTTACTATTTTTGTTCAAATATGAAGATGCTAAACAAAAAGGAAGCAGTGAAAACTCCATAGCATGTATGTTATTGTTTTAGCGATGAGATAAAAAAAAAGACAAGCTACATGTCCTTAATCAATCTATGCTGACTTCTGGAATTCACATTAACTAATGTGATTAATCAAAACAAAGCCCAAACATGCACACGTAATATGTTTTTACTAAAGACGCTCTCAGGAAAAGGAAACACCAGAAATCTGATTAAGAAAGAAATTAGGAAACACAGAGCAGCCTCAGCAGGTTGGAATGTCCCAACAAATCCCAAATCAAATAATGATTAAATTATGTTTGTGACATAAAGAAAGCTGCCTGGCAACAAAATATGTAGAAACAGGTCGGTAAAACAGTTTGACTCTTCATAACAACACAAACGGTATCTGATAATCTAGCCTTGGTACAAGATGACAGAAAGCTTTTCAAACTCTCTGCTTGTACTGAAAAGAAGAATAAGGAATAAGGCTAAGGAGTGGCCCACAACCCTCAGAAGGCAGCATGAAGGAAACCTCAGCAGAACAGTGAGAAAGGTTGTTATAACAGCCCAGAGAACAAGAGAGGAATAATGGAGTAACTTGATGACGACACAGGAGAACAGAACTCCAGGCAGGGCGTGATTCTGTCTTTGCGTTTGTGACTCAAAGCAAAGCGTTACATAAAACCTCACGCAGACTGCTGTGTGGACACAAACATCTGTTTCTGACCCACTGAGTCTCAGCAAAATACTAATTTCAACTTAAAGTATTAATAAAGTTGCTCCAGTTCCATAAAATGGTGGCAGACAAAAATAAATAGATAAAAATAACAAATAAAAAATTATTCAGGCAGTAAATCTCAACAGCTCTTGATTTAATGGGAGTTTCTGGATTTTGCTCGGTTTAATACAGAAAAAGTAAAATAAATAAATAAAGAGGGACGTGGTCAAAGTATGGGGAACAATTCTTTCATGTTGAATACATGTAATATGCTCCAACTTATTTGGTTTAAAAAACGGATTTGTTGGATTATTAAAATCGAGCTACAGTTGGGTTACTGATGGATACAACAGAAGGAATAAAGAAAAGCCGCCTGAACAGGCAGGTGGTCAAACTGGGATCCACTGTTGGCCAAACTGGAGCTTTCACAACAGAAAGCTCACATCTGCAGCCTGGAACTTAAACCAGACACTGTTATTTCTGTCACCTGCTTGAAAATATGCTCATCAGGCCAAAAACAGCTTAAAAGTCAAAGATCAGAGGGCAACCCAACGACTGAAAGGTCAGAGGTCGCTTTGCTTAATTTAATAATGTGTATATATTTATTTTTATTATTCTTTTTTGTTAAATGGGGCAGATGTTATACGATTCTTTTCTTCTTCTGCTTCCTTTCATTTTGAGATTGTGTTTCTTTTTTTGTTGTACTGAAATTTTTGTTATTAAATCGAAATGAATAAACTATTAAACAAATTTTTTTACCTGGTTTTGTTCACAAACTTGACATAGTTAAAAACATACAGAAATGGGATTATACTTTATTGATGAAACTGTCCTGCTGTTTTTCTGCGTATCTACTCTAAGTAACATTAATATGTTAGAATCAAATACATGTTCTGTTTACATGTTCTGCACTAGTTTACAAGGATTTCATGTTCAACAACCCAATTAGAGCCACTATGAATCTGTCGCATTTAACCTGACGTTTCAAACTGTGGCGCGTCAAATGTGACTGCTTCCTGTTTAAGACGTTGCCTTTCCATCACTGAAACCAGATCTGCCTCTGCGCAAAAACTAAAGATGAAGTTGTTGAGTCATTACTTTCATCCACATCAGCACAAAGCCAGGCGAGAGCGACAGGACTCAGGCCGGGTGCTCTTACTTGATCTGGAGGCGAGCCTGCGCCTCCTCAAAGTCGTTTCTGAGGAACAGATCCAAGGCAGCCATGCAGTCCTCCAGAGACAGGGACAGGTCGGACCGCGAGCACCTGCAGAGGCAGAACAAAACATGCTGAAAACATTTCTAATTCACTTAGTCAGTGATTTGAGGAGTTTATATTAGACTGGGCATTTCACACAATAAATCCTTACATCATAACAAATTAGACTTTTAAGACAATAACAGGCCTTCAATAAAAAAAAAGGAGAAAAATGATGCAGGTAATCTCACTACTTCCCTCATCAAATATTCATACGATAACAGTTCAGTTACATGTTCCTCCTGTTTGCAGTTTTATTCGTCTATTACAGCTGTACTTTCAGATGAGAAAACAAAAACAGGAACAGATTAAACGACTAAATGAGAGGCTTTTCACATTGTCTCAGTTTGACTTACTTCAACCGACAGAAGAAATAAAGAATAAGCTGTTGTGGAGCCACTAAAATCACAAGCTCCAAAGGTAGTTTCAAGCTGCTCTGATCTTTGTGACAAAAAACAAATAGAACAGCTTCTGAGGACAACAGAAGTGACACCCTTTAGGTTCCCATCACAAACAATAAAGTCATCTATTAAACACACAAAGGTTTGTATTTCTAATCTTATTAGGACCACTCATTGACTTCCATTCATTTCTAGTCGTTTCTTTAGCCTAAGCCTAAACTCAATTAACACCTTAGTCTTAAACCTAACCCCCTACCCAAAAATGGAGTTACACCATATTAGGACTGGTCTTTGGACCCCATAAGGACTATTGGTCTTGACAAGGTAGAGTAGGTGTGTAAACCAGAAACGGTCCTAAGAAGGTAACAAAAACAAGTACACACACATCTCTGTGCAGCTCTGATTAATAACATGCAGATGACTGATGTGTTTATCCTATGACCAGAAACAAGCTGGGTTTTCAGATACCAGCAAACACACACACACACACACACACACACACACACACACACGCATTGACTTTCATTTATTTATTTTTTATACATGTCTACATCCTAACCCTGACCACCTCCAGTACTCACTTTAGATCTCAGTACTAAACCTAACCCTTCATCCAAAAATGGCATTTTAACTTTTAGGGCCCCAGCTTTGGGCCCCATAAGAAGCAGGGTGTCCCTACAACATAGAGCGTATTTTGTAAGAATGGGCCTTGCAAGATATCATACGCTAGAACGCACACACAAACACACACACATGGCTGCTTTGAGGAAGAAACACAAATGCATGATCATTGTGTTTGTATAATGATGAGTGAAAAAGAAGCTGAAGTGAGAAAAAATATATAAATAAATCTTTGAAAGCCCTTTAAGAAAGCCTGAGGCATGTTTGATTAAAAGATTACAGAAAAGGGTTTAGTTTCTAGGAACCAAAATAGTTTTAAAAAATGAGGGATTATTCAAAAGAAAAATAAATAAATAAAAAATATGCCCACTGCTGCAAGTATTTTATGAAGGAAAAATGGAAAACTAACATATAAACATAGGATTGTGTTCACAATAAATGTATATGATTTCAACTATTGTAATTAGGCTAATAATTAATATTTAATAAGCTATTTAACCTCTTTATGAGTATGTTTTTCATGGAGGACAGAAAGTTTAATGACAGCTACTACAGTGTCAGGAGGGAGTTAAAATGAGGGAACAAAACGTACCCTCATGTCAACGATTTTATAAAAAATGCCATTGAGTCACATGTCCCTCCACATGGTTATTAACTATAAACTCAGATCAACCAGGAGTTTCCCTTCTGTGGGAGTAAAAAGAGCCGCCTGTTGGAGCTTTAACACACATCACCGTCCTACTGGATCTCATTTAAAAAAAAATCTGAGAACCTTGAAAATATCTCTGTGGTCAAATTAAAACAGAATTATGATACGAACGTACCAAACTGTGGCACATCAAAGTGAGCATTACCTGGTCTGAAATTTAAAGTGTTTACTTTTGTCTGATGTAATAACAAAGTACTCTCTACAATCAGATAATCAGACATTTAGGCTCAGACTTTTCCTAAAAAAGCTAATAAAAGCTCAATCATCACCTGCTGAAATATTGTTTTAAGCACGACACCACTCCAATCTGTGTGTACAGAAACAAAAATCCTGCTCTAAGCACATTTTTTAAAGATTCTGTAAACTTTTACTTATCTTTAAAAAAACTAAAAGTGACATGTATGCAATTTTCACAAGAAAAATAAGGAGGCTCTAATTCCCCTACATCCAAAACTAGTTTTCATCTGAGGAAACGCTAAAGTTGTTTTATGAGCAGCAGGTCTCAGCTCTGATTTTCATGAATATGTATGGCCTGAATTCATCCAAACAGCTGCACAAGCCTGTGGATCATGAGTGCTACAGTAAATATCTTCTATTGATCATTTATTTACTTTCAAAGAGGATTTGATTAATCACGTTTTTCTTTTCAAGCACAAAAATAAGCAAATAAGCGTCTTTCAACGCTCGTACCTCAACATGTATAACGTATGTGTGCGCAGTTTTCATCTCTGTACCAAGTGTTATTAATGCATCACAAAGCGAGCTCGTTTACACCATGTCCTGTGGTGTCATGATCACTCAAAGGTTGCTCGTTTCCCTCAGAGCAGCGAGTCTAATTGCTCTAAATAAAAGCAAAAATGTTAGTTTGATGTCAAGAATGATCTAAACACCAACTAATGACTTTTTAAAATCTTACAACAGTTTTTTGGTTTTCCAACCCACAGACTATAAATCATGGTGTACAAACTACACTACACTGATACATTAATGGTTTTAACGTCTCTTTGTACAATCTTGGTTTGAAGAAAGAGTTTAAATCGGACCACACTGACAAGCTAAAGGTTAGTCTCGTCAAGGTAAAGTAAAGTGGGTTACTGCCAAATTAAAAACACTTCATGCGACAATTATTTTAATAAAAATATACACATTTTTGCATTACAAAGTTATTCCAACAGTGCCGCTCAGGAAGTGATACAACTAGCTGCTGTTCACACTTTCACATAACCACATTTTATGCAAAGAGTTGTTGAACGTTAAATTGATGGTGATGTAAAAGGTTTACAACAAAGCGTTTGTTTCAATCACTGTAGAGTATTTTGAAACTCGAGCTATTTTGAAGCTCTGGTCAGAATTTAACCCGTGTTTTCAAAACCGGTCATTCAAAGACTTATTCACAACAGGTTAGATAATAATTGTTCTTTAACTTTTCACAGAAACACACTTAAAATATATAGAAGTAAAATTAAGGCTTAATATAAAACAAGTCAAATATTCTCATGAACTTACGTAGGGTCATTGCTTCATTCAGTGTATCAGATTCACCTGAATCCAACTCTATTCATTCCCTAAATTAACAGTCTTCTTTAAGTTTAATTACATATTAGCTTCAGTTTACAAACTTAATCTGATGGAAGATAAAGCTGAGCTTTTGTATTGTTGTTGTACAGAAAATTCTCACGCATTTAGAAAACTTATCAGCACAGCATCAGAGCTCACTGTGTCACCGGAGCTTATGTCAATCAAAGCCAGAAACAATCAGTGGCTTTAGAAAATAGCTCTTTCAGAGAAACCTTTTAAACACGCTAAAGAAGAGGAAGCAGCCATCAAACATGATCATTCAAACCAGGACTCTGTTTTTTAAACAGAGGGAAAAGTTGGCTCTTGTAAGAAAAAAAAAAGTCCAGACAATCAACAGAATGAGGAGCGATTCAGGATGTGCATACCCCGCATTGTCTCAATAATTTGATAAAGTTTCAGCTCAGCAATTCTGCTAATTTCTCCAGGGAGCAAGTTGCACAGTGCTGATCATTATCGGCTAAATGCACACATAAAACCATCGCTGTATGTGGCCACGCACGCACACACACACACACACACGCACGCACGCGCGCGCGCACACACACACACACACACACACACACACACACACACACACACACACACACAGCCTTACGAGAGTGACGAAGCATTAGTTTGTGGACTCTGCCTTGACGAACTCTGCGCACTTTTGTTCCAGACGATTTAGGATGCTCAGAGGCAGCACGCATCGAGCCGTGATATAAAAAAAAACAAAAAAACGAGCGAGTCCGTCCACACGCCTGAGCGTTACGGCCAACACACAAACACATTTCCCCCTCCAGTGAACGAACAGAACAGCACGGTGTCACATCACTTACCCGTTGGACAGACTCTTTTCTTCTTGTGACATTTTCATTTGGCAAAAGCGTGAGAAGGTAAACAATTAAAATAAAAAACAACAAAACAATAATAATGATAACAATAATAAAAAAAAGCTACAGAGAGAAAATTTGTAGAAGTGAGGCTTGGGCCTTCACCCAGCAGTGCAGAGTAATGATCTGTGGCTGCTTCTGCAGCTGTAGACACAAGAGCAGAAGCAGCAGAAAGACAAACGAGAGACAGAGAGAGAGAGAGAGAGAGAGAGAGAGAGAGAGACAGAGAGAGAGACAGAGAGAGAGAC